TACCCCAAAATCCAGCCCAAATTACCCCAAAACCCGCCCAAAATACCCCAAAATCCAGCCCAGAACACCCCAAAACCCCCAAAAACACCCCAAAAACACCCCAAAAACACCCCAAAAACAGCACAAAATACCCCCAAACCAGCCCAAATTACCCCAAAAACACCCCAGAAACACCCCAAAACACCCCAGAAACACCCCAGAACACCCCCAAAACAGCCCAAATTACCCCAAAACCAGCCCAAAATACCCCAAACCAGCCCAAATTACCCCAAAATCCGACCCCAAACCAGAGCAGTACAGCTGGCGCTACAAGGGGCACCACAACAACGCCACAGGTGGGGAAACGCCCCAAAAACACCCCAAAAACACCCCAAAAACACCCCAAAATACCCCAAAAACACCCCAAAATACCCCAAAAACACCCCAAAAACACCTCGAAACACCTCAGAACACCCCGAAACACCCCAAAAACACCTCGAAACACCTCAAAATCACCTCAGAACACCCCAAAAACACCTCAAAACACCCCAAAATACCCCAAAATCACCTCAGAACACCCCAAAACACCCCAAAAACACCTAAAAACACCCCGAAACACCTCAGAACACCCCAAAAACACCCCAAAACACAACACCCTGAAACACCTCAGAACACACCAAAACACCCCAAAATCACCCCAAAACCCCCTGGAGACCCCCAAAACACCCCAAAACACCCCAAATTCCCCCTGGTGACCCCAAATTCCTCAGCTGGCCCACGCCAACGTGGTGGTGTACAGCTACCGCTACCTGCTGGACCCCAAAATCACCCCAAAATCACCCCAAAATCACCCCAAAATCCCCTCAGGTGACCCCCAAACCCCCTGAGGGACCCCAAAAACCACTGGGGGACCCCAAAAACCACTGGGGGACCCCAAAACCCCCTGGGGACCCCAAAACTTCCCCCAAACCCCTCCCAAAAGCCTCCCTTTGCCAACTCTGTCCACTTGCTCTTCTCATTCTCTCTTAAAAAATGACTCCAGGACCCCCCCAAAACCCCCTTAAATCACCCCAAAACACCCCAAAATCACCCCAAAAGCCCCTGGGGGACCCCAAAACTTCCTGGGGACCCCCAAAACCCTCTCAGGTGACCCCAAATTCCCCAGCTGGCCCACGCCAACGTGGTGGTGTACAGCTACCACTACCTGCTGGACCCCAAAATCGCCCCAAAATCACCCTAAAACCCCCCTGGGGGACCCCCAAACCCCCTCAGGTGACCCCAAAACCCCCTGAGGGACCCCAAAAACCCCTGGGGGACCCCAAAATCACCCCAAAACACCCCAAATTCCTCAGCTGGCCCACGCCAACGTGGTGGTGTACAGCTACCACTACCTGCTGGACCCCAAAATCACCCCAAAATCACCCCAAAATCACCCTAAAACCCCCCTAAAACCCACCTAAAACACCCCAAAATCACCCCAAAACACCCTGGGGACCCCCAAAACCCCCTGGTGACCCCAAATTCCTCAGCTGGCCCACGCCAACGTGGTGGTGTACAGCTACCACTACCTGCTGGACCCCAAAATCGCCCCAAAAACACCCCAAAATCACCCTAAAACCCCCTGGGGGACCCCAAAACCCCCGGGGGGACCCCCAAAACACCCCAAAATCACCCCAAAACACCCTGGTGACCCCAAATTCCTCAGCTGGCCCACGCCAACGTGGTGGTGTACAGCTACCACTACCTGCTGGACCCCAAAATCGCCCCAAAATCACCCCAAAATCACCCTAAAACCCCCCTGGGGGACCCCAAAACCCCCGGGGGGACCCCAAAAACCCTCTCAGGTGACCCCAAAACCCCCTGGGGACCCCCAAACCCTTCCCAAAAGCCTTCCTCTTCCACTTGCTCCTTTCATTCTCTCTTAAAAAGTGACTCCAGGACCCCCCTAAAACCCCCTTAAAACACCCCAAAATCACCCCAAAACCCCCTGGGGACCCCCAAAACACCCTGGTGACCCCAAATTCCTCAGCTGGCCCACGCCAACGTGGTGGTGTACAGCTACCACTACCTGCTGGACCCCAAAATCTCCGGGCTGGTGTCGGCCGAGCTC